AGGAAGAGGAAGGAGGAGGAGAAGGAAGAAGGAGAAGAGGAGGAGGAGGAAGAGGAGGAGAAGAAGGAAAAAGGATGATGAAGAGGAGGGGGAGGGGGAGGAGAAAAGGAGGGGGAGGAGAAGAGGAGGAGGGGAGAGAGGGAAAGGGAGAGAGAGAGAGAGAGAGAGAGAGAGAGAGAGAGAGAGAGAGCTGTTAAAAACTTTAATTAGGCAATAGCTGCATTTCATCATTATATCCATAGTTTGCTACTAGTTATTAGAGTATCTCCGGGAGTATTTCTCATACACAGGTTTCATAAAAGTCAAACATATACAGCATGCATGTAGGAGAAGGACAGGTAGAGACTGGGGGTGGAGTCAAGAGCGGAATCAGTCTGGAATCATTACATTCCCACAAGCGGTCTAAGTTCAACCCCTCTTGGATTCTGTTGACTCTTAACTATTGCCAATTTTAGGGTTGACCGTTACTAGATCAGATTCTTGTGTATAGATAGTCATGAGCAATAAATCAGCTTAAGTGGAACTTAACGTCTGGTCCCGGATTCTCCTCGCCTGACTGTATCCTCCCTGTAAAGGTACAATATTTGTTGATATTGTACTCATCATGAGATGAGGGTGTGGCTAACTGATGAGGCCTTATAAGGCCGAAATAGACCTATCTTAGTCTCCCAATGGGCAGCAAAGGGTCTGCTGGCTGCCAGAAGAAAAAAAGCATAATATCTTGGTTTACGTAGGTAAAACCTGGCTAAAGAGAAATACACATAAAGCCTATGAAAAAGACAGAAAAACCGAAGTCTCATTTGTCATCTTCAGGCTGGTGCTCTGATTGGATGGGGGGTTGGCGGTGCTCTGGCGACCATGGACCAGAAGCCAGGCCACAGCTGCATCATTAGCCACTTTAAACCCCTCCAATCCATACATGAAGCAGACTGACACCCACCATGAAGAGGTGGTACGGCCACGAACATGAAGCCAAACAACAGCAACACAGCTCACCAGCTCAAATCCCCCTGCTACTCAGACTAACCCGAGCATAACCAAGCCCCCACCTAAACAGAACACATACCCATCCAATCAGAGCACAGCCAAACCCCCAACCAATCAGAACACACCTCCACCCATCAGAACACAGCCAAGCTCCCACCCAATCAGTTCACAGCCCCACTGGCAGTTAAAAGGAAGAAACAGCTGCGATCGCACGCATTGCTCCTAGAAGCACGAGGCCGAAGACACCAGCCTGAAGATGACGAATGAGACTTTGTCGAAATGTTGCCAAGACACCTCCAATTTTACGCGAGAGAAAACCCGAATAACCAAAGACCTACATACAAACATCCGCGAAAACCTCAGAAAACAAATATATATATATATATATAAAAGGTGGAGCCATCCCAGACTACCAGCACCAGATTTGAAATAGTAACGGCAGTTACTGCAAAAGACTCCTCACATAAGCCTGATGATGGCAGATGAGATTCTGTCGAAACGTCGCTTCTACCCTTTTAGGGATATATCCACAATTACACGGGAAGAAACCCGAAATATTAACTACACACACACACACATATATATATACACACACACACAACTTCTCCCTAGCAAATTGTACTTTCATGGATCTTGTGCCTACACTAAGAGGCTGAAGCTTAAGAACTTCTATATTTATTTCTCTGCTCGCTGATCTGATTTTTAAAAAATACCCAAATTAGCTTTTTCCCAGATTTGTCACAGTCAGTAGGAGTGAACGCATGCACATATGCATACATTTGATTTTTAATTTTAATTTGGTTTGCTTGAAAGAGTCCGAGGCTCCAGAAAATATCCAGTATGAAATAAGAGAGTTAAGAAAACCCAAGGTGTCAAATGCAAGCTATATTTAACGATCAGCTTTAAACTATGCACGAATGGGAATTATTAAATTCAATTAAAACAGTTACCAAACAAAATACAAAGGCTTGTCCGTCCGTCTTCCTTTACGCGTTTCAAACAGATTTATGCAATATTTTAATTGAATTTCAGCTCGCTTGACTGTCAGATGAAATATCTCGACACATGTCACATTCAGAAAACTGGAGGAAGGCCATTCTCTTCCCGGCAGCGTAGAATTTTACTAAATTCTATTCTAATTAGTAATCTTCACGTCCCGCAAAACAATCCAAAATGCAAGACAGGATTCCTTCTTGGATTCTCTTTATCGATGCCTAAAACCAGAGCAGCATTCCTTGAGATGAAGGCTGGTTATCAGCCTAAATCATTTCAAGTGTAAAACTTTTTTTTTTAAAAACCCTATTTACTATATAGCTTGAGTTTTCTTTGCTACCTTAAGGGCAGCCAGATGTTAGATGTTGTACCTTGGCTTTAGATTTACAATGAGGGAACAATTCAGGCCAAGAATAAATCAGGGAGAAAGCCTTTGGCACAATCAGATGCTCATGGTTTTCATGTGGCCTAAAACACTTCAACAAGAGAAAAAAGTAACTTGTTTTAATCAAAAATACACCTCCTTCCTTCCTTCCTTCCTTCCTTCCTTCCTTCCTTCCTTCCTTCCTTCCTTCCTTCCTTCCTTCCTTTCCTCCTTCTCTCCTCCCTCCCTCTCCAATCCTTTCCTGCCCCCTTCCCTCCTCTCTCTCCTTCCTTCTTTTGTTCCATCCTTCCTTCTTTCCTATTCATTCAGTTATCTTCCTTCTTTCCTTCTCTATCATTCTATTATCTTCATTCTCCCTTCCCTCCTCCGTCTTCTTTCCTCTCCCTCCCTCTTCCTCCTTCCTTCCTTCCCTCCTTCTCTCTTGTTTCTCCATCCTTCCATCTATCCATCCATTCTTTCCTTATCATTCCATTATATTCCTCCCTCCCTCCCTCCCTCCTCTCCTTCTCTCCTCCTTCCCTCTATAATCCTTTCCTGCCCCCTTCCCTCCTCTCTCTCCTTCCTTCTTTAGTTCCACTCCTTCCTTTAGTTCCATACTATCCCAAAATGTTCATTTTGTTATCTTCCTTCTTTCCTTCTCTATCATTCTATATCTTCATTCTACTTCCCTCCTCCTCTCCTCCTCTCCCTCCCTCTTCCTTCCTTCCTTCTTCCTTCCCTCCTTCTCTCTTGTTTCTTCCATCCTTCCATCTATCCATCCTTCTTTCCTTATCATTCCATTATATCCTCCTCCCTCCCTCCCTCCTCTCCTTCTCTCCTCCTTCCTCTATAATCCTTTCCTGCCCCCTTCCCTCCTCTCTCTCCTTCCTTCTTTAGTTCCATCCTTCCTTTAGTTCCATACTATCCCAAAATGTTCATTTTGTTATCTTCCTTCTTCCTTCTCTATCATTCTATTATCTTCATTCTACTTCCCTCCTCCGTCTTCCTTCCTCTCCCTCCACTCTCCTTCCTTCCTTCCTTCCTTCCCTCCTTCTCTCTTGTTTCTTCCATCCTTCCATCTATCCATCCTTCCTTCCTTCATTCCATTATATCCTCCCTCCCTCCCTCCCTCCTTCTCTCTCCTTCCCTCTATAATCCTTTCCTGCCCCCTTCCCTCCTTTCTCTCCTTCCTTCTTTAGTTCCATCCTTCCTTTAGTTCCTACTATCCCATGTTCATTTTGTTATCTTCCTTCTTTCCTTCTCTATCATTCTATTATCTTCATTCTCCTTCCCTCCTCCGTCTTCCTTCCCCTCCCCTCCCTCTTCCTTCCTTCCTTCCTTCCCTCCTTCTCTCTTGTTTCTTCCATCCTTCCATCTATCCATCCTTCTTTCCTTATCATTCCATTATATTCCTCCCTCCTCCCTCCCTCCCCTCCTTCTCTCCTCCTTCCCTCTATAATCCTTTCCTGCCCCCTTCCCTCCTTTCTCTCCTTCCTTCTTTAGTCCCATCCTTCCTTTAGTTCCATACTATCCCAAAATATTCATTTTGTTATCTTCCTTCTTTCCTTCTCTATCATTCTATTATTCATTCACTACTTCCCTCCTCCTCTTCCCTCCCTCCCCTCCCTCCCTCTTCCTTCCTTCCCTCCTTCTCCCTTGTTTCTTCCCTCCTTCCATCTATCCATCCTTCTTTCCTTATCATTCCATTATATTCCTTCTCCCTCCCTCCCTCTCTTCCCTCCTTCTCTCCTGTCTTCCTCCTTATTCCTTCCCTTCCTTCCCTCCTTCCCTCATTTCTGGCCTCCAGAGGGCTCTGGGGGAGGTTGGGGAAGGCCGTTTTTTGCCCTCCCCAGGCTCCAAGAAAGACTCTGGAGCCTGGGGAGGGCGAAAAAAGGGCCTTCCGGGCCCACCGGAAGTCAGGAAATGGGCCATTTCTGGCCTCCAGAGGGCTCTGGGGTGGTTGGGAAGGCCATTTTCCGCCCTCCCCAGGCTCCAGAGGCTTTCTTGGGCCTAGCAGGCCTTGTAACCTTTTTGCTGTCACGTGCCAAAAGTGGGGGGCACAGGGGGAAGGGTCATGCGCGCATGGGTGGGGGGTGGAGCACAGGGGGGCATTGAATTATGGGTGTGGGAATGCATGCGTGCAACCCCGCCGCACTCCTCCCACTTTTGGCACACGACGGCAAAAAGG